TAAACCCAAAATAGTTCAACAGCTTGGCTCTATCCCAAGAAACTGAATGGGAACCCAACAGTTGAAGTTTCTTAAAAGCATCCTCTCTACAATCCTGAATGGGTAAACCCATGCTTCCCATACAATTCTGGAGGAAATCTTACACCACTGAGGGTCCCTGAGACTTGCAATTCTTACTTGGAGGGTCAGGGGGAGATTGTAATTAGGTTTATAAGCCCTATAACCCATATAGCACCGTAGTTATCCAAATTATTAACCTGCTTACTAAGTCCCCCTGACCCTTGAAGTAGAGGGTCGGGAATTTAGAGTAGTGCAAGGTGTCTTCCATCCACAGTAATCCTCTCCCCTGTCATTAAACCCACCCACCCCCCTACGTTGAATACTCCCATTATGTGGTATATTATAATGTATTGGGAGTATTTTGTTTTAGGGGGTGTGGGGATGTGGGGGGTTTACTGTTAGAGTAGAGGGAGGGGATTACGGTGCCCCGAGTTTGAGACGCGTCCGAGCCCCAGGTATACTTACTCAATTTTAGCTGTCCGTAGAATTCCTCTCCTCTTGGCAATCGAAAATTCCTGCACGGCATAACGGCATTTCAAAACATGATAGAATAGTGCAGAAAGGCCACGCAGGATTCTTTCCGTCGAGGATTACTGCGGTTCCAGAGGTGGTTGCTCACCCTGCTAGTAGCCGTACTACTTCCATGCTACTCTGAGACTACTTACACCAGATAGGAGGGCCTGCAGACAACCCACTAACAGAGTCTGCCCCAAGTTTTGCCTGCCTGGCAGGCTGCTGACAGCCATTGGCTCAGCACACCGATGAACTGACCTTTGGCAACTTTGTGGGAGGGCCTGCGGGTAATTCTTTCTGGGTGGGCTCCTTATGCTTGGTGTCCTTATGGAGGCCGGCCAGCGCAGGATTTGGGTTCAAGCTCATATGGCTTCAGGCAATCTGCTTACCTGTGCATGTTCACCAAGGGTTGCCCAATCTTCTGCACATGCCTGTATCTTGGCTTGTTATCTGAGAGGTCATATGCTTGCCTGAAGGATTGAACCAGCAGTGGGTCCACATCTTTTTGCTGACCTGCGCCGTTCCGGGCGTGTTCTCTATGCCCCATGGCTGCTGGAAAATATCAAATTCTGTTTGCTGCGCTGATCATTGCCGTGTGCTGGACAAGCGCCGCAGTGCCCTCAGCTTGCTGCAGAGTTTGACACCAAACTGAGCACCATGTCTTCCTCCGCTAAGCTTCCAGTGCAAACACAAAGGTCTTTACCGTGAAGCTTCTCCAGGAGCGGCTCTGAAACAGGTTGCCTAACGCTTGCATCTGGGCTTTTACGTTTCAGCACTCAGCCGGTCGCTTATGGTTCCAGCTGCTGATTGGAAGGTTCCCATTATCCCCATATACCCCCAATAAGAACCCTATATAATCCCTGTATACCCCTTTTAAGGGACCTAGGGTTTCCATTTTCTTTCCCAGCATGCTGAGATGCGTAGCATGGAGCTTTGAGAATCGCTGTTTGCTAGGAGAACTGTGACTTCAAGCCGCTCGGCTACATGACATTAGGAGCACAATACGGAAAAAGGGAGTATTTCATGTAGGGATTATGTAAGGAGTAGGTTCCTTTACCCCTGCTACCCCTAACCAACCCTACACCCTCTACATATATATATATATATACATACATACACTGTATATGTATCTATCTATATCTATAATCTATCTTTACACACACATATACATGAATATATATATATATATATTCTCCCTTATTCCCTAGTAAGCACCAGTAAGTAGCCTAGTAGACCCAGGCACAAAGAGCTTTATGGTGGTTCTAGAGGTTTTTCCCCCCTCTTTTTGTCTGCTTGAGGGGTTCTGTAAGGCTCATCTAGGGTTCTATAGGGTTTATAGGGGTTCTAGAGGGTTCTAGAGGTTTGTTGTTTGGGATTCTAGGGCTATCTAGGGTTATAAAGGGTTGTACAGGGGTTTTATAGGATATATAGCGGTTATACAGTGTTATGTAGGGACAATAGAAGAGAACATGGAGACTACTATTTAGGGTTTAGGGTTCAGGGATATTCCCCTCAACTAATGGAGAATCAAATGAACAATTGAGTTGAACGCTTAGCGAACGGGCTCTGCTCCTTGCGGGCGATGGGCTTCTTTTGACCATCAAATGGAATGAATATGGAGAATGAAATAGAAACTGTGGCTATGTAAGAGAATGTATGGATAATTACCGATGGAAACTGTGGCCATGTAAGGGCTATGTAGGGATAATTATCACTGTTGGCATTTTTGTAAATTCCATATACCTGGATCCCCTATACGCAGCAATGGAAACCCTCGCAGCTCCGATGCTCAGGAAGCCCTAACAGTTGGATACAAGTAACAAAAGCGAAGATATAGCCTTGCAAGCCCTCATATATCCCTACATATCCCAAAATGACCCTTTAAACGGCTCCTTAACCTTAGGAAGCCTTATTTGCTCACCTACATCCATGAGCTGGCCCTGATGTTTGCTGCAGCTACTGGGCAGGACAAGTTTCTATAAACAGAGGGCTGTTTTTAAGGTTCCCCCACCCCGAAGAGGGCCAGAGAGAGAGAGAGATTTGTATAGATATATAGATATATACATGGAAACTACCATTTTGGGCTTGATAAGCCTGACTTCATAAGGTTCCCCTGGCTACCTACGGCCAGCGGGGTGGGCTATGGGCTGCTGCGAAGCCCCTGCTCCTTGCTTCTTGTTAGTACAGAAAGAACGAAGGGATCCCGACCTAGCCACATGATGTGCTATAGTTTCTTTACTTAAGTACTACTGTAGGCAGCAAACTTGATTCTTGTTTCATAGCAGACCTAACAAGACCTAGGTACACCCAAGCATTCACCAATGATCCTACATCCTGAACCCAAAATATTGATGCTTAATAAGCTCAAACCACCAATCAGGACTTCCCTGTCTACTCTCAGGGGAGTTTCTCCAAACAGTCCCTTTAGAGTCCCTGTTGAGGACCCCCTCCATAATCCTTGTATAGCCCCCTTGTACCCTAGCATCCCTAAAGCCACCTGTTCTTATTTGGGGATACTATGGTACCCATTAATATAGGGTTTAGGGCCCTATAATGGAGAATCAAATGGAAAAGAAAATGGAAAATGAAATGGAAACTGGGATTATATCGTGGTTATATTGGGGATATAGTAACTCCCACATCACAAGAACAGCTAGGCTTTGGCGCGGCGGTGGCATGGGATTGCTGGCCTTCGGCAACTTCGCTGAAGTGGAAAAGTTGTAGATGGAGGAGATCTGGCATTATGTGGTTAGGAGGGAATATAGCGGTATTGATATAGGGTTACATAGGGACTGTATAGGGTAATAAAGGGTTATATGTAGAGGGAATTGATTATTTAGATTCACAGAATATTTTACTCCTCGCGGGCATAGGTTGCATAGGGTGGAAGCAAGATTTCCTCCCTTCACGGAGGTAGAAGCCGGATTCGTATGCATGCAGCTTCCACAAGCATCAGCGCTATGACTTTTAAGATTGTTACTACGGGTTGCATTCACGGTAATGCCTTGATCATGATTGTCTTGACTTGTTGGTCAAAACCAGCACTAGACTGAGCATGAGTCAGTTTATCTTCTGACAGCTGCAGCGATACCCAGCATGTTGGTGTCTGAGATCATGTGGCGTTGGCGCGTTTCTGTTTTTCTGCTGGTGTTGATTTATCCAAGCTGTACCTAGGTAGTATCCCTTAGCCCCTCATAGCCACGAACCTAGGTGGCGCTAGTGTTTAGAAATATGCCTACCCAATCCAAGTCCCCTAATCTTCACAAATCCGTAAATTCCAGTTTCAATTCCATTTTCCAAGTATTTTCCATTCGATTCTCCCTCATTAATTTTTCTTAGCACGCCACATCCTGCCATGAAATAGAACCGCCCGCAGAACCCTTCCATGGCCCATATGTGACCCTTTAACGGACTTTAGCGACCTTTAAGCTTGCATGTGGACCTGCTTTGTAGACCGGAAACGCTGGCAAGACCCCCAAAATATGCAGGTAACCTTGAATCTGCTCAATCTAAATTGCGGAAGGGCCTGGAGCACTGTACAACTCACTGTTATTTGGGACTGGATCCTGTGGCAGCCCCTGCATAGTCTCCATTGATAATTCCTGCATGCGATATCTTCATTCTGGATCGCTCTCTATTGAACGCCAGTAAGACAACAGGGTTTGCGCATGTGTACTTTTCGCTCATCAGGAGGGTGAGCGACATTGAAATGCCCTTGATGGGAGAAGGGGTTTTGTTGGATGGTCCTGTCTTGAGCCGATAAAAGGACGACCTGGAAACTCATCCCAGGCGCCAACATCGCCTTCACTGCTGCCCTAGTTCTGACAACTGCCAGCTCCGCGATGACTCTAGAGTCCCTCGCACCTGCCGTTGGGTATTGTAGGCGGCGATTTATTGGTTGCGTATGGGAATGTAGTTCATTCCAGTAAGTGGCAGGGTCCATACGGGGATGGAAGTATGTTGCCTTGAAGCATCAGAGCGTCTTTGTCTTCTTCTTGACAGAGTCATTGTCTCCACTCCTGCATGATGCCCTGAAAGAAGCAACCACCGATACTTGGATGAAGGAAGATGGGGCCGTGGGAGTCCCAAAAACATTTGTTTGCTGATGCTTGCTTAATGTAACCCTACTTACCGGCAGTTTCTTGTTAACCAGGATTCCAGGGAGGGTGCAAGAGGTGGCATGGTCCAGCACCTGTAAGCTAAGAAGATCAGATAAGAAGGGCAGATGCTGGGCTAAAGGGCGACGGCTAGCAAGCTGCAAAGTTGTGTACTAGTTGTTTTTTTGGCTGATTCTTTAAACATGCTGCTAACCAGGGACTCCAAAAGGGACTTCTGCTTTGGCAGCTGCGTAGGTTTTTTCTCAGGTAGCCCCCTTCAGCCCAAGCACGTCACTACGCCTGCATTTTCGGACAGCCATCCCAGTTGAGGCAGCTGACGCCTGTCTTCATCGCAGGACCATAGTGCAGCGTTATGACTGATGGGTTTTCGGGGAGGACAGTGACAGGGAGAACAAATTAGACTTAGAGAGGACTCTCGTTCTTCTTCCTGCACGAGAGATATCGGGCCTGCCAGCTCCTGTGGCTGGTCGTGGCTGTTGCTGGCTCTGTCGTCACCGCTCGGAGCGACCTGAAGGAGAAAGGCTTGTAGTGAGAACCGCAGCATAGCACATCGTAATCTGGGATGTAGTAGCAGCGGTAGCAATGGTAGAAGTACTGCAAGAAATTGTTGCGGTGATAGTAGGGTTGATGCTGCAAATCCTGGATGACTCCAAATAGAGTATTTGTATATACACCAAGCAGGATTTTTAGTAGCAACGGTGTCTCTGGCAGCCGGAGTAGCAACATCGGCAACAGCAGCGGCAGCAGCGGCACCAGCACTGCAGCATGGCAGAACATTTTTGTGAAGCAGTAGAACATCTTTTTTCTAAAGGTTACAGTAGCTGTTGCACACCATAAGTTTACCATCGTACCCAAACAGGTGATGCGCTGCAGCCTTGAAGGTGGGTTATGCTGACAGGGCCAGGGTGGCCGGCTTCTGCCATGTGCATCTACCGGCTTGGACAAGATCTGACACTGATAGATATAGATTCTAGATTTGAATTGACTGTATCTTGAAGAGTTGTTTCTTGGCTAGTGTTGGAGACTGAGCTAGTTGAAGATGCTTGCTCGTGTGCTGTATATACAGAAGGCAAAAGACAAAAATCCAGAGAAGAAAGCGTCCAATGTTGGGACCATGGAAAATGAGAGGTAGATTGATAGATTTGTCCATGCCTTTGGGGGCTTACACTTGGTAGTTTCCCAAGAAAGGGGACCCCAACATAGACCCCAAATACTATGCGCCTTATTATGGGGACCACCCGAAAAGGTGGCCCTACTTTTAGGCAAACCCTAAACCCCAAATATCCTTAGATACCCCTATACATCCCTTAGAAACCCTTCAAAAGTACCCCTCATGTCGGGAAACCTCCCACGTCAGCCCTTGAGACCAGGAGTGTCACGGAGGCGGTTGCTCAGGCTCCCTCCCCTTAGTGGGCGACTTGCTGGTCGTGGCTTGGAGCACAAATATGGGAGTTTCCCAAAATTAGCGGTACCTTTATAAAGGGATTCTAGGGATTCTAGGGGGGTTGTATAGGGGTATATAGGGATTTTTTGGCGTGCAGGGGATAATGCAACCGGATAGGCCACAACAGGAGCTTCCACAACCGGTGCCTTTTCAGGGGACGCAAGAACGGGGGATATCACAACCAGTTCATACAAAGAAAACAAACCAAGAATAGAAATTCAGAATTGTTCTCTGAGGCAGAATCATTATGCAAGAAAGTACTCAACCTGCCTATGAGAAAAACATGAACACCAACTATTGGAAGCCCAAACGATTCCACCCGGCTATAAGAAAAAGCACCAAAACATCCCATTGGAAGCCCAAGCGGAATCCAGTTGCGATATCCCGCATCTGTGGCTGCAGTTGTGCCATCCCCTTGTTTGGTTGTGCTATCCTTTAAGGACTTTAGGAGGGACAGGGATATAGGGGTTATACAATGACTATATAAGGGTTATATATGGTAATGGGATTAAGGGTCCCTATTAGGGGTCCCTCCTAAAGTCCCTAGATATCCACTGTTCTTGGCTCTTTCAATTGTAATATCCACTGAGTTGGTCCAACAATTTGTACTGTCCCTTAATCTTGGATATTTAGGGTTTGGGGGTCCCCCATAATCAGGATTATACAGTAAATTGGGGTCTATATTGGGGTCTTTCTTTTTGGAAACTACCGAATGAGGGATTGGGTTCGGGGATTGGGGAGGTATTTCGTGGAGGGAATGCTGGAATGTGATGGGGCATGTAGCAGCCACCACCACCAAAGCATCGAGACGGTTTTCGTAATCATTTCAGACACCACCACATTTGTGATATCAAATCAGTATCAGACATGGAAAGTGTCATATCGTGATTCGAAGGTAGTGACCTGCATCACAGCAGCCCTCTACATGGTTCTCTTCAAGCTCATCTTCGTCCGTGGCTGTGACTGGCAGACTTTCTTCACCTACTTCATGGTGAAAGGCATGGCTGAGACTATCTGCCTTGCCTGAGACCCTAAATCCTAACCCTACGTCTTAAGGCCTAAAAGCCAAACCCTAAGCCCTAAACCCTGAATGCGAAACCTTAAGCATACTTTCTGGCGAAAGGCATGGCCGTGGCTATTGTGGGAGGCATTGGCCTGTTGTTCCTGCCACAATCCCAGCTTGGACTTCCCAAAAGTGCTATTGGCTGGAATCTTGCTGGCTTTTAGTAGGGAAGGGAAGAGCAGATGGGCTTTTTAGGGTTCAGGGTAAGTGAAGGAGTGGAAGGGGAAATGGCAGCTATTATGCAGGTTTAAGCGTTCAGGATTTGAGGTGTAGGGTTTATGGCTTTCAAAGTGCGATGGCAAAGCAGGGTGCAAAATGGAACGGAAACTGGGCCTGCGTAGGGGCTACATAGGACTTCATAATAAAGTACTTGTGGTTGTTAGTCCGGAACGGCACATCAAATGGAACCTGCGGCATTGCTTAGGGTTCCAGGTTCACCCATGGAATGGGAAAGAAGGAGGTAGCTGTTTAGGGTTTAAGGTTTAGAAAAATCAAACAAACAGCAAAGCACATGTACAATGAAATGTGGAGTTTGAGTTGGCAGGGACATGCTTTGGGGTGAACTTGCTAGTGGTGGTGGGGAATGATGGAATGGTAGCGAATGAAGGAATGGAAAGAGAATGAAAACTATTCCCATCTAACAGCTGGTAAGGAAATACCTCTCCATCAACATGGTCATGAACATAGCCTTCAACCTATCCCTGGCCTGGGGGATGTTAGTCGTGTCTCCCTTGGCCTGTCGCCTTTTCGTCTTGCTTGGCCTCCCGGTGTCGCTGCTTCTGGATTCTGTGATGGGAGTTGATGTAAGCTTCCAGCGCATACTCGGCGTTCTGCTGGTCACATGTGGCGTTGCTGGCTTTGAGGCATCTTCAGCCAAAAACAAGACCCCTGATTTTCCCACGAGCGAGCTTGGCGAGCTCGAGGTGGAGAACGTGCCCTCAGACGTCCATGAAGATGAGGCGGAGTGCATTGCCGCCCCCCAGGTGGTAGCAGAGGTTAGCGAAACCTCCCAGTCATCGTCATCATCTTCCCAGGGTAGGCCACGCTTGCTGAGTCCCGTGCTGTCATCTTCCATCTTTTGCGCGCTGGCAACCAGCTTGTGCATAGGTGGTTTCATTGTTGCAAGCCTTGGAGGGGCCTGAGTCGTCTTTTGCAGCAAGCAGACTCTTGCTCATGACCTCTCTGGCCGGACTGCAGGCTGCTTACAGAATTTGCCTGCATTGTTGAGGATTTACCAAGATTGCTCTGGCTGGCATAGGCTTGCAGCCGTACAGGTAGTTAGCATGCCGCTCGCCGCCAGAAAAGCTGTTGCTGCCACCACTTAATCAACTGGGTAACTATTGAGCAGCTGACTTGGAGTTACTGTAATATTAAGCAAGCCATATCAGTCTTATGGCAACCCATTCTGAGTTCTTTAGCCGCAGCCCAGTCAAATCAGCTCACTGCCAGCTTGCCGAAGCGCATGGGCTTGCCCAGGCTGCAAAGGCGAGCAGCACAGCACCCAGAGCCTTGTGGGGATGTAAGAAGTACATTCGCATGGATCTAAGCCCATGGTGCTGCAGAATAATGTGATATCTCCAACTTCGGTGAGACTTGAAGGGTGATAGAAGCCTGAGGCTGAATGGTTGGGGGTCCGAGATCCTCCTCCTCCTCCGCCCCGGACACTTGATCAGGAGGCAGGAGATGTTCTTATATGCGGAAGACAGCTGATGAGACACTGAGTCTGTTTTAGATCTCGGCTACAGGTGCCACTGCATGCCCAGCCCTGTCTAAGTGACCTGATCCATGTGCAAACGAGGATCCGGGGTGTGGCGGGTCGTAGTCTGATGCAATGGAGCCCTGTTGCCCAAACTGAAGATGATACTCTTGTTTGCTTGTGTCGAATGCTTGCTGAAACGTGCAGGCTGCAGCCATGCGAAGATCCTGTCAGAGCTTTTGAGCATGCACAGCGGGCTGGTCGGCTGCAGCACAGAGCCCTTCTAGCTAACAGGAGGACTGGTAAGCTTGTGGACCTTAGGCTTTCAGCCACATCTCGGGCTCCAGGGGTAAGAGGTTCGAGATTTTGGAAGTGAGGGTCTCACATGGGAATGAAACCGTAGAGGTGAGACCAGTTTCGTTTCGCTGGCCCATGCCGAATGGGGCTTTGGCACTGGGAGCTTATGCTTTCATCGCTGAAGAAGCATGGATCATACATATTGCCATCCGTCAAAAGTTAGGCAGGAATCAGATCGAAAAGCCATGAATCTTGTGTGTAAAAGTAGGCTTCCTCACCAGGATTTGTGGAAGCATCATGCCAGAAGCCTTCAAGCAATTCGGACTTGGAGTTAAGGGGGCTTGAGCCCTCCGAATTCCCGAAAGCCCTAGAATGAGATCCTTAAACTGTAATGCCCTTGCTGCCAGCAAGGCTGCAGATGGGGCGTCGTGGCTACCGGATCCAGAGGTGGCGATGAGGGTTGCAGCAATTGAAGATTTCTGAAAAATCATTCCTATCTGAGGGGTTCAGGGTTTAGCCCCAATACAGACCCCAATATACTCTAGCCAATGTTATTGTTGTTATTGTAACAGCTTTGCAGAGGGGACCCCGATGCCCGGAAACTCAGGCTTGTCTTACAGACTTGTGGGGCTTACTTTTCTTGCTTGAGGCTGTTGCGGTTTGTTGGGAAGTACGTTTGCCGTTGACAAGTTGCCCCCTTGCGCCTGATGCTCGTCCAATTTTCCCAGCAGAGTCTCTGACTGCGCCAACCCTTTTCTCCTGCATATTCCCGAGTTTCCATTCTCTTTTCCATTTGATTCTCCATTATCCCAATAGAAACCCAATAACCCAAAGAATTAAGCACTCTTAGCACGGGTGAGTGAGATCCCTCGAGATGCCCAAGGTAAGACAAAGAAATCCAAAAGAGAGCCACTTCCCAGCTGTGGGTGGAACCACTCGTATTTCTGCGTGCGGCATTGGGTTATTGGGGTTCTATTGGGATAATGGAGAATCAAATGGAAAAGAACATGGAAAATGAAATGGAAACTCGGGAATATACAGGGATTATTGGGAATATTTTAAAGCCCCCTAAGCCAGGAGATGGTTCCACAAATCTCTCGTGGGCTGCTTCTCCTTGTCCGCCCAGGACTGAGATCTCGCCTGGATGCTTTTCCCAAAAGGTTCTATAGTCTAAACTCCTTAAAGGGGGGTTAGGTAGGGAATTATACAGGAGAGTATTATAAGGGTTATGAAAGGGGATACTAGGAGTTTAGACCATAGCTCAAATGGGTCCAGGCTTCGGAGGTTCCTAGAGGTAGCTACTGTAGGGCACACCTTTTTTGAGAATTTTCCGGGCTGAAGAGTTCTCGGATGCGATGACGCAATAACAAGAATATAATCCCAATATAACCCCTATATAACCCAGTATAGTAGTTTCCATTTTCTTTTCCATTATCCATATATAACCCCAATGCCCGTGGAAGCAGTTGATTATTCCAGGTCCCCAAGCAGTGCCCAAATTCCCATTTTCAGGTTCCATGACTATAGGGTTCCATACATGCAGGGATGGTCCTTGAACATGGGAGGCCTACATTTCAGGCGAGTTCAGGGCATTTCAGTTCTCACTTTTTTCAAAGTTCAAGGACCATCCTGAATCCGTACAAGTCCAAGAACGCCCTGCGCAATTGAGTATCAGGGACCTATGACATGATTGTGTACGCCACTACTCCAGACATCCCTGACAGTCCCTATGTACTCCACAGCAACATCATTTTTGGAATCCGGACAGTTGCTGAACCTCGCCACACAAACCTACAGAACTGCAGTATACCCTTTGAGGATGATGGGATCCCTTAACCTAACCCTACACCCTGAACCCTTACACTCTAAACCCTACCCCCTAAGCCTCGCACCCGAAACCCCAAATGTTCAACGCCTTGCTTTTTCCTTTGGGATTTCTTGACAACTCAGGCCCTCTTTGCCTGGGGTATCCTTCTGCCGTCGCCATGCCCAGCTTGATGAAGGTGGAGGAGGTGTGGTACTGAAGGGTGAAATGGGGGTTTCCCAGAACTAGGGGTACCTTATTGGGTCCCCATAATAAGCATTATAGTATTTTGGGTCTATATTGGGGTTCCCTTACTATGGGAAACTACCAAACATGGGTGATAGAAGAACTCCAGTATCAAGCTTCGGAAATAGCTAGGGTTCAGGGAGCCTAGGTGGTGCATCCCTTATTCCATCAAGAGTAGAGAGTCAGAGACCAAACTGGGGCTATCAAGTGTCAAGTTCTGTAGATACTGCCAGGTTGGGGTTTAGGCTTCCAAATAAACCCGCTTCACTGAGATTTGGCTCACCATGGACGCCGCCTGGAAGCAGGAGAGGAAGGAATGCTGCAAAACATAACTATAGCACTGTTTGGTGTTGTTTGTCGGGGTGGCCGAAAAGGTTTCAGCTCGACCTTATGTTAACAGCATATACATTCATATCACAGCGCTTAACATGGTTCGAACGAGGGTTTCGTAAGGTTTTGCCTATCTTCTGACCGGCCTTAAAACCTTAAACCCCGACACCCGAAATCCTTAGTCCTAAATCCTAGGGCTTAAACCCCCTAGTTGTGGTATCTCCTCGGCATCAATGCCTGGCAGGTCTGCGACCGCTGCCCATGGATGCTGGAGAAGGAGGCGGAACGCGGTTGATCGACAAAATCCTGCATGATCTTGCGCACCTGAACACAGGAAGTATGGTCATATGGTTTACTTGAGGTCATGCAGAATGTTCCCCTTCAACAGCAGCAGAGCTAATGGATGTGGGGCACAGTAATTATGCTTCAAACAAACATAAGTATTTGAGGCAGAGAAGTTCGCCTCGCACTGCAAGGGCATTACCAAATTTTTGACAGCACGGCACATCCCCACGTGAAGGAACTAGCAGCATCGACAGCGACAAAATGGAACAATTGCCCGGACTTGGAAAGTTGCGCTCAGGTCAGTAGACATGTAATGGGGCTCTTGATCATTGCAACATTCAAAAATGGTTTGCAGAGCAAATTTTTATTGTGTCATGCCATCTGCTTCGTGCTTTCCCGTTGACGTTCATCCTCCTCAATGTACCAGCTTTGCTGTTCAGCACTGTTTACCTCAACTGAGTAGGCTTTAGGATGTTGTATTCCTTGTTCTGGACACTTTGGTCAGCGACAGTTTGTTCAGTGACACTTGGGTCCGCAATTTCTTGCCTTTGTAGGCGCACACAGCTCAAGCCTGCTGGAGGGCGAGCCTGTAATTATGTATGGTAATATAGGGCCTAGGGTATTGGGTAAAGATTGGGATAATGGAAAAGAAAATGGAAACTACGATATTCTAGTATATTTAGGGCTTTACCCTGAAAGTGAATCCTCTTCTCCTGATTCGTCTGACGATCCTAGTGATCCTAGTTGTGCTAAGCCCGAACTGATTTGCAAAATGCGGGAAGCTCACTGCACGACGTTTCCAGTGTGTATAGTATTCAGTAATCTTAGGCGCCTACCTTAACTCCCTAAAGTCCAAATACTATTTGGAGAGTTAGGGAAACCTAGGGGGGCGTATTTATGCTGACTAAGTTCCCCTAAGCCCTAAACTCTGAACAAGGCAGCAGTTTCCGTTGTTAGCATTTCTTTCTATAAAACCTAAACCCTATAGACCCTAAACCCAATTATTGAAGTGGTTATTCCTTACGAAGTTCCCCTGACCATCCAAGCCCTAAACCCTAAACCCTACGTGGAACTTATAGCACTTTCCATTTTTCTTTTCCAGTATCCCAATATATCATAAATATATCTCCCATACATCCCCTATATAACCCCTAAAGAGCCCAATATAGCCCCCAATATAGCCCCTACATAGCCCAATATACACCCTATATAACACAATGCATCCCAATACCAACCCTGCCGCACAAAGCTTGGAGGATGATATCTTGAATGGTGGGAGCGACGAGGCCGACTTGGATGGCTTGGGATTAAATAGGGGGGACCCCATGGGGTTTAGGGTTTGGGGTTTAGGGTTTAGGGTTTCGGGTTTAGGGTTTGGGATTTAGGGTTTAGGTTTCAGGGTTCAGGGTTTAGGGTTCAGGGTTGAAGGGTATAGGGGTTAGGGTTTTAGGGGATTCGCTCGACCAATGAGAGTTCAATTCCAAACTTACAGGATAGGTCGAACCAAATATAGCCCTTCCGGAGACGAGTATTTTGCACAACGACCAACTGCCGCTCTGATCCGCAGCTTGAGTCATAAAGATTAAAAGCGGACCACAACTTCTATGAGCAGCACGTTAGGCAGATGCTTCATGCAGCTTCTGTGTTGCCATATTCTGTGATGCCGTTGAGAACTGCATCCTGATATGAGCTATAGGCTAAACTCCTTAAAGTGGGGGTTATATGGCGGATTGTATAGGGGAGCATCATAGGGCTTATTAAGGGGGAAACTGTCGTGATGGCCAAGATTTCATCCCATCAGTGTATTCTTCACTTTCAGTACTGGGCTATACCAGGTCCCTGCTTGATACTCCTCACATATGGAGCCCCATATGTTGAGCGTGACTTTCGGAGTACGTGCAGCGCTTTACGCGCGTTCCTCACTTGGACCCACGCATAAAAAGGCCACAGGCGGAGAAGGCGACTCTTAAGACCTTATCTATTCCATTTGGGAGAGCTACCACGTAGCTACGCCAAAGCGCACGCATTGTCCGGAATCCGGAGAGTGAAATAACATCACGATACCGTAATGCTACAAGACTGTATTCTATCGCGCTACAATACGCCTGCGCAGGAGAACGTTCTGCTCGCTGACGGCTGTGGCCCCAGCGATGCTCGTGACCTGTTTGGTGAGGTGGAGCGAGTGGGGTCACGCCGGGGTTGCTTGGGATGATGAAAGCTTTTGCATAGGGCTTGTATGTGCGGACTTGCCCCAATACCAAGATCCACCATCCTCAGACCCTCCGGAAAGAATCTAGATGGAGAAATGGCTATGTGATCCCGCTCCTTGTACTTGTCAGTGACTCGATGCTCCTACATGCGTCTACCTCTCTCTATGTAGGGCAACTGAACAGCTCGACAAGGGGTACGCAGGCAGATCTGGATTCTGACATGCCGTGACTGATATACCAGAGGAGCTTTCCGATCATCACTGTCAGCAAGAAGGACAGCGGCCCAAACAGGACGAACGTTCGCGCGGGCAGTCAGCAATCAGTTGATTATCTGCAACGACCATAAGTGAAAGCGCCGCGTGGAAAAGTAACAAACATCACCCTTTGGATAGGAATGGTTCAACTAATATTTCTCATGCACAGTCCATGGTATATCAGAAGGTCTGCTGCCTGCGGCGGAGCCTTCCAAAATCGAAGTGTCGGGACCCCAGGATCTGTCTCAAGCCCTACTGTGTGTTTGACACAGCCAGCCCGATGGCTGCAACCCCAGGTAACGTTTGTCTAGTAGAATCACCCTCAAGGTAGACCCGGCATGTCAAATCGGATCCAGGTGCCTTCGCAAAGTTGGCCCGGACGACTTATTGGGCTTCAGTGTGGAGGCAGGTGTGGGACATTCGCTTGACACAGTTCTATGGGATTTTTTAGTATGAGAGTCAGTCAGCTCCATCTCCTCTTAGGGACCTATTGTTGCGCCTGTTCTTGTCTAGCCTAGATTCACAGCGGTGTTGAGTAAGCCCTTCTCCCTTTTTGTTCGATATTAAGATAAACGAAATTGAAGACTGGGCACCTTTTTAGCCATAGGTTACTGGGGTTCCTAGATCAAGGTGGTCCGTGGGGTCTGGAATCCTCTGATGTTTGAACTGTGGGCCAGTGTGGCATCGAGAGTTTCCACAGCAATATTATTGGGTGTTGCAAGGCCTTGGAGAGTGCGATGCCAAATGTAGGTCGCTCGATAGCTTGAAGCCAGTCTCACGATAGTCTTTTCAATCTTCTGGGGACCCAGCCAGCCATCAAGGTAGACAAAAGTATGGGCTTTGTTTGGGTCTTGTTTCGAACTCTACTTCTTCCTCAATGGATGGTTATGACGAAGGACAACCAATGCCAAACCCCAAAATCCTAAACCCAGTTGGAGAGAACTCAAGTTGGCTCTGCTACAGAGAAGGCAGATATCAATCGTCCGGATTGCCTACAGACCCTCGGCAGCATCTTAGGCTAACCAGTGTTGTGGTGCCACATGAGCAGCTATAGTCTGCACTCCTTAACGGGGGTCATACTAAGGTTTTTATAGGGGAGGATTATAGGGGTTACTATGAGGGGGATACTAGGAGTTTAGACTATAGCGCATGTTAGGCTAACCGGTTTTGTGGTGTCACATGGCTGCTTCTCACATCAGGCCCTTCCCCCACCCTTTTTTGAGAAACCCCTGCGCTTTCCCTAGTCAAGAGCAAACTCCTAAGGCACTTGGCTGTACCCTAAACCCTAAACCCTAACCCCTCAGGATTTGTGCAAGATCCGACCGAAACAGTGGCCGACCTTACGCTGTCAGCTCAAGACTTGGTAGTTTCCCAAAATAAGGGGACCCCAATATAGACCCCAATATATTATAATCCTTAATATTAGGACCCCCAAAAGGGTACCCCTAATTTTGGGAAACCCCCACTTCCCGTAGATAACTGAATGAAACAAACTGCGTCTAGTCACATCACCTCATACAGGTAGTTCTCCGAAGCATGGGTCTTCCAACCCACTTCCCTTGTTAGAAACCCTCACAGGATGACATTGGATCTGAGAACACCAAGCTGCCAGCTTGAATCTTGATGTTTCTTAGTATCTTGTTATTATCACCTCTCGCATTCCTTAGTCGGTCTCAAATTTGGGAACGCTGCTTCCTACTTGCAGCCTCATCGGCAGTCATGAGTGGGGCCGGAGGTGCCCAGATGAAGGTTAGCGCTACAGATAGTTTTCCCAAACCCGACACTCCGAAATCCAGACAAAAGCGCTGTGATTATATGAGCCATTGTCAATACTGGGGACACCAAGGGACCATTAAGGGTGGACATAAGACTCTCTTTTGTAGTTTAGTATAGTCCCTAATGTATTCCCTAATAAGGGCCCATGTCCATTAGCTGTATAAGGAGTATTGACTGTGGCTCATATAACTTCACATGACTCCCTTTAGAAACCGCATACAACCCTTACATAACCCCGTGTAACTCAAGCCCTTACGGATGAGGATCGTGTCCATCTCAGAGAAGGGCCTCCTCGGGCGGCGCAATGCGGCTGTGGGTCCGACAGAGCGTGCGGTAGAAGGCCTGCTTCGGCACACGGTTAACATTAGGCGTTTAGGGTTCAGGGTCAATATTCGACCCTTTAGGGATGTCTAGGGATCTTTAGGGATATCTAGAAATCTAGAGGGATATAGAGCAATCTACAGGGAGTTCTAGGGACGAGATAGGTGTTGTACAGGATGATGGAAAGCAACATGGAAGCTACCATGTGTGGTTAAGGTGTCAGGAGGTGTAGAAGGGTCATTACCCCAACAATGGAGAATCAAATAGAAAAGAAAAACATGTAATGGAAACTGGGATTATGTAGTGGTTTGTAGGGATCATATGAGATGGGCTTGCTGGGGGACCATAAAGGGTGGACTTCTTTGTCCTTTGTTAGTTTAGTATAGTCCCTACCTGAGAGGGACACATGTCCATTAACTACAAAAAGAAATATAGACTGTAGCTCATACGTTTTTTTTTGAGAATGGGGTCCCCCCACAGATCCTTGGGATATGTGGGGATTCTAAGGGGGTTCTGGGGCCTTATTACGGATTCCATCGGGGTAGCTTTGAGAAACACACTTATCTGTTCGTTGAGTGCGGCCTTGTTCAAGGAGGAACTCTGTTATCTATTGTAACTCACTGGAGTATGGGCACTTAAGGTTGGGTAGGCTTCCTGGCTTCTACAGTATGGGGGGAAGGTATACTACCTCAAGAAGGCCCTAGTGCAGATTTAGTTCAGGATTTTATCGGACGACCGCCAGGTCGCAATAGAGACGACCGTTGGGACGCAATACAGACTGCCGTCAGAATTCAATAGAGACGGCTGTCCGATCGGATTAGAGACGACCGCCAAGTTGGAATGAAAAGGCATACAACGCATTTGGTGGTTTCTTCCGTTGCATGGTGCAACCATTCTCAGCACGCTTCGGCAGGTCGTCTCATTCATAGCTGTGTGGGCGTAGGGTCAAGCCCGAGATTTATTCACGAATTCATCGGGCTGCACCTCAAAGTTCCAAGGGAGGACACCTTGCACAACCTCAGGTCCCCAAGTATTGCGGCGCCTAGGACTTATGGAACTTAGGATTGTGCAAGACTGCTTCCATTTGCTAAGGAATCATCTTTGCTGAATCCTTACATTGATACTCCTCTTAGAATCATTCCCATTATCCTGAGAGTCCCTGAAACCACCCCTACTTTCGGCCCTAGCATAGGGATTTTTGGGATTGGGGTGTAAGGATTTTGGGGTTTGAGGTGTAGGGCTGAGATATTGGCGTTTGGGATGAGGGATCAGAGGTGACTTTCTTGGGTTCCATGCATGGTTGGGTCCTGGTATGAAACAGCCGCTTCTGAAAAATTGAATATCCTCTGCCCCTACAAGGGATTATAATGGGGGGCTGCTATAGGGATTATTAAGGGGGATACTAGGAGTTTAGACTGTGGCTCACATGCATACCCTCCACAGACTTCCCATGCTCCGTTGGCATAATTACGCGTTCAGCCCCCAATTGTAATCGGACACAAAAGCCAAGTAAGCTGAAAAATCACTTGAACCCCAAAGTTTGAGAACACTCATGACAATTTTACATGTCACGAAGCTCCAAGTACTGGGTTGCTTTTAATGTTAACTTACCAGAACATGGGTATATGTTAAATACTAGGGTTTCCCTATTATGGTAGCTGGCTTTAAAGTTCCTCAACAGCAACCGCAAATATCCCAATAGAATCCCCATACAACCCATTATAGTAGTTTCCATTTTCTTTTCCATTATCCCAATAGAATCCCAATACAACCCATGATAGGCCCACTGAGGCTCCTGGGTCGTAGAGGTGAACGGAGTGGCGGGAGATTTGGAAGCCATGCGCAGCCAACTGGAGGCAATCCTCGGGTCCAGGGTACAGGAATTTGGGGGTGTTCAGGGTTTGGGGGGGGTTTAGGGGCATCTTGGGTGGGTTTCTGGTGCAAGGTTGAGCCCAGATATTTCATTGACAAAAGGGGTTTAGGGGCCCTGGATGCTGGATTGCGCTCAGGGTTTGGGGATTTGAATTTTGAGCCAAGCTTGCGTAGATAAAAGAGGGTTCGCAGTGTCTAGGCTTCCGGACGCTGAATTAATTAGTTCATATTAGTTGGGCTCATGTTGCCCCATCACGATGTTGAAGCGTCATTTCAAGAGTTGTAGGCCCTTCCCCGTCCCCTAGTTACCAGTTACACCCTCACAGAACAAACATGTTCAATGTAAAGTCGCTACCTAGACCCTCCTCCTACCCTCAATTAGGGCCTAAGTACCTATTATTCGGGACCATATACCCCCAATTAAGGGTACAAGGAGGGTCCTGGTACATACTTTCTGTTGTAAGGTGTTGGGAGGTTTTAAAGCTGGGCGATTCTCAGGGCACCCCAAACTCTGAGATTGTTGGTCCCAGAGATGGAACCCAGGAAAATTTGGGGTTTAGGGTTTAGGGTTTAGGCTTCAGGCTTTAGGGTTTAGGGTTTAGGGTTTAGGCTTAAGGGTTTAGGGTTTAGGGGTTTCCGTTTTCTTTTCCAGTATCTCAATACAACCCATCATAGTAGTTTCCAATTTCTTTTCCATTATCCCAATACAACCCCAATATAACCCACTATAGTAGTTTCCATTTTTCCATTATCCCTATAGAACCCCTATCACGGGGAGGTGAGGGATTCCTTGATCTTGAGAAAGTCTCACTTAATTCGGGACGCTTCAGTGTTGCGGAATGGGTTCAAACATCCTTCAGCGAAGTCGTATACTATCCCTGGCATTCAGGATGTTCCAGTTTGTCTTTGCAATTCCTCGTACGACGCTGTGCTAGGCTTGTGGGAACGGACTTAAGAGAGGAGAAGGTCTTCTGTGTGAGGGGCTCCCTCAAGACCTCATACATTAAATTCTGATCGCTTGGAGTTTTCACAGAAGTTAATTGTCTCCACTTCATATTAAGAACCGCTCGTTTGACCGCCCCGTCGTGGCCTGGATGTGAGCTCTAGACCACCATGATTAGGTCAAGAGCTCCAGTATTACGAGCCAGTAGTGGTACAAAGAGGCTTGACACACTCGGAGCAAAATTGCGCTTCGGACTTTTTGTGTTTATGAGGGGCTTGTAGTTACTTTCTGAGATTTGCGTTTTGCAGTTGCAGGAATTCCTTGATAGGATAGGAATATGAGGTCACCATTATGGGTGTATTTGTGGGACAGTAAGTTTAGGACAATTTTCTCTTCTGCTCTGCGGCCTTGCAATGTCCATTCTCAGGTTGTGAATGATGAGGATTATTGGTCTATGCTAGCGTTCTTTGGAAACTCCCTGGTCACTTCAAAAAATGTGCCGGTTTGAAGATCGCACTCCTCTGCTTTTCGCAGTCGGCCCATTTCCAAGCATTGTTGCTTTCAAGCCTTCATCGTGTAAACTGACGAAGATATTGGGTTTTGTTTCGATGGTCATGGGGCGCGGAGCACTTTCAGGCGGCTTGGATGCTGACGGTCTACGTCCTGAGACTTGCCCTCGATGCTTTGGTTTTCATCCGTAGTCACGAACCGGCAACAATCCAGTCGAAGCTCAGTTCTTCATGGCCGAGAAGACCATACAAGCCTTGCAGGTCTCTTCAACTCTGAATCCACTACAGCAGAAAATGTCTGAGCAGGGGTATGTAGAGTTAGTGACAGGTAGCAGTCAAGAAGCGTGACCGCCGCCATGTTGGGATGCTGGAGACTTAGGGCGTGGGCGTAGATTCGAGGTGGCAAGGTAAGTTCGGAAGTGTTACAGTCTGGGCAGATCATGCTTGTCTTGCTAGAAGAATTCTTCCAAAGCTGCCAGAAATCAGCAGAAGCTAGAATTTATGGCCGTCGAGGGACGCCGCACTCACATGTTCGGATGCTGCAGGTCTTCGTGTTGAAGTGGCTTGGAACAAGATGCGTTGCGGGTTCTGCGTCTGACCCCTGTTGCACCTTATGCTCATGACGGAAGAGGGCAGGTGCGCTTGGTTGAAGGTTGTTGCCTTGCTGTATGCAACAGACATGCTACGCTTCGTGCGCTTGCGGCTCAGGTGTAGTCTGCACTAGCTGTTTGTACTTGCCAATTTGCCAAGCCGTCTACATCGTGTTCGTGTAGCATGTGTTAACGGCAACGCTCAAAGTTTGGAGTTCGACGCTTGATGTTTGGATTTGTTTTTTTTAAACCATCCTTTGCTGCAGGGTGAGTCCCTGGTCAAATGTCTCAATATGTCCCATACGCATAGCGTCCTGGACCACAAGTCCGCAGCCAAGCTTGCAGCCTGAGTTTCCGTTGCTCAGCAGAGCCTAGGCCATGCCATCGCCTGCAGTGTGTGTACAGCCTACTTAGAAGTTTTGTGCGAGCGTGCGCACGCATTTGATTCGGAGTTGGGCACTCCTCGAATGGCCGGATGGCAGGTTGGTCTGTGAGCCTTCCTTGTCAGTGGCCCAAGTTTCAAGCAGTTATAGAGGAGAGCAAGAAAGTCCACTGAAAAACAAACAAGGTGAAACGTACGTAGGTGGCACTTTGGGCAATGTTTTTTGCCACTTGCCTTGATGTTGCAGAATGGCTGGGTTTACTTGTGGGGCTTTGGGGTACCACCCGATTACCCGTGCTCCACATTGTCCCTGCAAACACTGAGCATATTTCGCAGGCGCCTGACATCTTGCTGGTCGTTCTCGTGCCGCAGGGGGAGGTAAGCTCTGGGCACATCCAAAGCTGCGCATACATGGTGCAACATACATATAATCCCCCTTAAGCTGATAGAATATGGTTTTGGGTATATCATAATAGGAACCCCATATACCCCATATTCTATCTACTTAAGGGGGACTCTAATCCATCAATTGTCAACGCCCCAACCTCACATCAACATCCTGGCACAAGCCTTGAATCTGAACCTTTTGGCCCGGAACTGTGACGGATGTAATGGGTGAGTCTACAGCATCCGTAACAGGCAGTTTGTTGGCCTTTTGCAGGATGACGCGCGCAGGGGATGTTTGGGATAAGTCTTACGGACTGACCTCAGGAATCATAGCACTCTAGTACCGCAGATTCATCTAGGATCTGTGTATTAGCAGCGTTTGGTAGTTCCGAGAATCAGGCGTTACCCACTGCCCGCAATTTTTTTTCTCCGGGGCCCTAGCACAAACCCCACAGGGCAGGGGGCCGCTTTTGGGGGTGCCCATAATCAGGATTACAGTCTATTGGGGTATGCAAGAAGTCCCCCAATCTTGGGAATTGGCATATGCCGAACGAAGGCGGATGACTTTGGGCGAAGGAAACCAAGCCGACCTGCCGTGCCCTGGCAGAAGCCCGAAGAAATTCCGATGCCCCCTTCTCTCTGAACCTCTATCCCATTATGATCCTGGATGTTGACATGTTACTGCTGGATTTTGATCAGTCAGGTCTACCCACTATGCAGGAGTAAGATTATCTCAGCCTGAAAGCTAGAGGTTTTCAAGTTGAGGATCTGCAGACAGATTTGTGATCACAGGGGTTCTGGAGGACCTCTTCGGGTCTTGCATGGTGGGTGCTCCAAAGATGTTCTCAAAGAAACACCAATTCCCAGACATGCTCCATGATCATGATGCCCATAAGTTCCAGAGGTCACGCGTAACTCGCCCTCCCAGGTCATACCCCATGCCAATGTCAAGGGGGAAGTGCCGCTGTGCCGCTGCAATGGCTACTGCAAGTGCGGTCTTGCTGATGCACTCGGCCGAGCACGCGACGAGCAGGGCAAGCGACTTGTCATGATTTTCTGCATCTGGACGACGGTTGTGGTTACGCTTCAAAGTGTTGTCTCACTTCTGCGTGGAATTCTTGCATCCATTCTAGACGCACGCCTTCAACAGGTAGTCCTTGGGGCCGCCAGTAGCACCAACGGCGTTGTAAGACTTCCTGCTCCCTTTCTGCTGCGCCCCAGGATCTAGGAAAATGATTGTAGATTGGGATGTGTGTTGTGTGCAGGGGCGGAAGACGGCTTCCTGACACACACCTCAACCCAAACCCTTTGCCATGGGATGCCATTATATAAGAATGCCACTATAGCTGATATCACAGTTATCATTGCTAGGGAGTACTTTTCATAGGAATTACAAGCAGGTGGAGTGTGGCGCAGCCGGCCTTGCGCATCAGCAACCTCCATCCAGAGGTGACTGAAGAGATGCTTTACAGCTCCTCAGCTGGAGTCTATCAAGTAATATGATCCCCCATCAGAATCTTTGCGTATCCCACGTTCCCCAAGGGTCCCATTTTGTGTAGCAGTACTGGTTTTGTTCCTTGAGTTAATGTCTCATCAAGGAATACAGGATAGAGCGAAGCTACTTGTAGTGAAAGCCGGACATTCTGTGTTAACTCTTTCCCAACTAACGTAGGAGCTTAAATGATTACGAATATTGGTGGTCCCAGATTCCTTCTCTAGTCCTAGGGTACTTCCAGTAGACCTAACAGAGAATATTGGTGATTCTCAGGTCCCGACATGACTTCATGATGGCCGTTTAGTCACATTACCTCGGGAGGTTGGCAAGTACCCTACCCTAAGCTGACATAGAACGGTGAAGAACAGCAGTCGGCCATATGGTTTCATATTGTAATGTCCCGCGACTGTGTTCAACTGTGCTGTATTCCAAGCTAGGATGTTGTACTCGTACAGTATATTCATGTGGTAGTTTCCCAAAATAAGGGGACCCCAATATCGACCCCAAAACACTGTAGTCCTTATGATTGGGACCCCTAAAATGGTACCCCTAATTTTGGGAAACCCCCATGTATATTCTATAGTATTGGGTCCCATTTCTGGTTGCCTGATGATGTCCTAAATCCGAGGGCTTACCCAGTTGACAACCTGGCCGTGTCCTATGAGCTACAGTCTAAACTCCTTAAAGGGGGTTATATAGGGGATTATATAGGGGACTACTATAGGGCTTATTAGGGGGGATACTAGGAGTTTAGACTATAGCTCCTTTAGTCTCTTACTATTCCTGTCATCGTGAACGCTCCACAATATACCCACCTTGCTAAGGCGCTACTACTGCTTTAGCACATGTTTTCGAGAGACGGAATACTGAAAGGCGAATCTGCATTGCTGCTCAGTTCAGGATCTTAAACAAAGTTAATAAGGAAACCCTATAATTTCTTCTATGCACATATTCTGGTTACCTAACTCAAGTTCCTTAGCACCACCTAACACCTAACCCCAACATATAGCCCATGATATTATTGTAGTTTCCATTTTCTTTTCCATTATCTCTATAATAGACCCAGTAATGGTACCACCCATCCTGGGAGCTGCAATATGGGACTTTCTCACAGTGGCTGTGCTTTTAGTTTTGCCTCTGTTAAGGGGGGTCCGCAGATATGTGCCGTCTAGGGTGATAGGCAATCGGGGCTTCTGGTTTAGGGGTTGTGAGTTTCTCAAAATGGGGGGTCCTCAGTGAGGGATATTTGGGTATTGTAAGGGGATTTTCACAGTTTGTTTTGGTTTCCCATCAAAAGGCTGCTTAAGGAGAGCATTTCCCTGAACCCTGAAACCTGAGTTCTTTACAAGAGTATACCGAAAACGTCACAACGCGTGATCAGTTGGAACCGTTGTCAGCTGTACACATGATGCAGGGTCAGCCTGTGTGTCTGAACACGAACTTCTTGCCTACGCACGATGATATTATTGCTGCTTTTTTATACATTAGCACTAGTCATTATAATCCTTACTTAGTATTATTATCACTATTCTTGTTGTAGGTTATGTGAGCTATACTTTAAAGAGTCCATAACTGGGGGTTTGTATGGGGGATTATATAGGGGACTACTATAGGGCGTATTAGGGGGGATACCAGGAGTTTAGTCTATAGTTCATGTAGAAACTAGCAGGTGGTCCTTGCTGCTTCATCTCTTGTGCCAGACAAGATCTTCCAAATCGAAAGCAGCAACAACAAACCTGACGCAGCCGAGCTGGCTGTCATTATGATTACCAGATAGTATTTAGAAGAGACCTTGAACTTTGGAGAAATGTTTACTGTGATGGCTTTAGGGTTTGTTAAATAGTCGGGAGGGTGATTCAGGTTTGTACCATAAGTTCTCTTCTGATTCTCGTGAATGTCTTTGCAGCCCGCTAAGAGCTTTCATCTTGACTATGCCTTGATAACGATTCTGTTTATGATTGTTTGTTCCAGGATGGGCCATTAGACCTTAAAGCGCCCCTAATCTACACTTATTAAGGTACCAATGGGGAGTTTTAGGGTCCAATAGCCCATACTGCTTAGTTTCTATCCTCACGTTTGTTCTAGTCTTTCACCTCATGAACGGCTTTGCTTAAAACGGAAGATGTCTTTCAGGGCCCTACGTAGTCCTGTCAGAATGTATCCGCATGAGCCCTTTACACCCCTATGTAGTCCCTGAGGTTCCATGTGTGGGGGCAGGCTAAAAATCCTTCATCCCAGCCGTATCCTTGACTAGCAATCGATGTTCAAGCCCACAGCGAACATCACGGATCTCGATGCTTTGGAGGGAGATAGGGTGTATCGGGAACCTTCCCCCCAACCAACCCTGCCTCCCCCTAAACCTAAGCCCTTGCGATATCAGCAGCTAAGAAGACCTCCCATTGAACTCTCAAGGCTTGTTCACAGAGCTGGCGCCTGTCGCCACACTGCGTGTGGTGCGCGACACCAAGACCCTGGAGTCTGAGCTGCATGGCTTTGCAACTTGGTTCTGCATGGTAGGGGGCAGTTCAGGAGTCCTCCACTACCAACTCAACCATCTTAGGGGAGGGGCGGGGGGGGGGGGGTGTGGGCGGGGGGTCACCTGTGAATGCATGAAACACTGCTTCTGCTCAACAGCCTGAGGTCCTAAGTCATCATCAGCCTGCTGCATCCTATGCTTGATGCAAGAAGCAACCTAAGGTGAACTTCCACACCTTCAACGATGCGCAGAGGGTGCTTGAAGCCTGTGACTTAGCTGGCGGCATCTTTCAAGATTTCTTGTATGGTTATTAGAGTCCGTAATAGCCATGAGCATAATGTTACTAGTGGTACGTACTATTGGTATTAAAGTTCGTCATCCGGGCGGCCGTAGTAGTAATAAGTAGCAATAGCAGCGCCAGATGTCAAAGATCAAGTACAGCCCATGTGCAGAAGAAATGGGGGGATTCTCATCCTGAGGCTTCTTTGGAAGCTTGGCCCTAACTAAAATGGCTGTTCAGGAAAGTAGATTACTTTTCTGAATAGCCCTTTTTTGCAGCTGCCCAGCAGCGCAGTAAATTTGCACATGAGGTATTCTAAACCCTAAACCCTAAACTCTACGCGGTACTGTGGATGGAGGAAGTCCTTCACCATCTGGCAGCCTCGGGAGCAGTTAATGGGAGGGTTTTTGTATCCCCAAGCACCCAAAAATTAGGACCCCAGTAGGGTCATGTGATAGTTATACGGTTTTTGAATTTGGGGGTTGGGGTAGCCTAAGTCCCCTTATGAATCATGGTAGTCCTAAGTGGTGGAAGAGTGGAAGATTTCGATCCACGGCTGGTCGACGAAAACCTGCACGACCCTGATTGAGTATTCTATAGTGTCAGATTTGGCAAGGTTTGACTATGTCAGGATTTGCAGGAATTTGTCCATAAACCGACTGCACCCTAAGCCCTACGCTCTGTCCTAAACCCTAAACTGCGAAAGCACTAGGCCTTGAACTAAACACCATTAGGATTATGAGGTAGTTTCCCAAAATACGCGGACCCCAATATAGACCCCAAAGTACTATAGTCCTTATTATTTGGGACCCCCAAAAAAGGTACCCCTAATTCTGGGAAACCCTACACCCTAAACCCCTATAAATCCCTATACGACCCTTATATAACCCTATAAAACCCTTAAAGGTACCCCTAATTCTGGGAGACCCAAATGATGAGGCCTTGGACGGCCGACCGGTCCATGGTCGTCGATGCTTTCTTAGTTGGTCAACAAGAGCAAGGCCAGAGATGCTGGGCAAGGTATATGGGTTTTTTTTTTGGGGGGGGGGG